GGTTGGAGATTCACCCGATGGAGGGTTAACTACTATAACGTTGCAGAGAAAATATGGATTACATTAACTCAGTTTAAAATATGGGTCACATCGAAATAAGTAATAGATCTTGAATATAATCAAGTGATTGTCGTAACCTGTTAAGCTGCATTTGGCGATCGGAGGTGCCGAAACTTGACAAGCGGAAGGTAAAGCAGCGGCCTTTGTAAGATTTATATCGACACCCAAATCAACACTGCTTTTAAGGGCTTCACAAATGCATTCAGCATTGATTTCCACAACTACTTTAACGCCAGAACAACATGCAAGTGTTGGTTTGTCTTCGGTGCTGTCTCCGCTCAAGAACGGGATGCCATCTATCATATCATAGATAATAGTAGAACAGATGTCCGACGGAGATAATGATGGCGATACCTCGGCCTTTGCCACTCTAATGAAAAGCATTTAAAATACAAATGGAAGCAATACTAGATTTCATTTTTCAGGTGTTTGATATTATAAAAACAATTAGGTTGATCTCAAGAATGATAAGTTTCAGATTGAAGTTGAAAAGAAAAGAAAAGTATTGTAAATAAATATTTGAAGATAAGGATAACGTTTTAATTTTAAAATTTAATTGGGTTGGGGTTTGAAGATAATAAAAATATTTCGATTTTAGACTTTTTTTGTGTTTAAAGATTTTTCTTTTTAAAAAATAATCTTGTTATTTTTTATTCCAATAATTTTCTCAAAGTACTTATTTAAAAAAGATTGTAACCAGAGGGTAAAAAATATATTTTAAAATTATATTTAGAGGATTTTATACATGTTGAAAGGAAAATTATTTTATTAATGATTTTAATTTTTTATAATGAAGTTTGTTATTTTTTAAATGATATTTAAAGGATTTGTATGCATGTTAATTCTTTCGTCAATGGAAACTTCTATATAGCCATTCTAGAATTTTCGTCAATCAAAATTTAATCGATACCAATGGTAGAAAGAAATGTTATTCTTCTTATAAATTCTGGATTCGAGCAATAGAGTGTGTGTTGTCAATGATATCAACTCTGAAGTGTTGAGACAAATTCTAGATACTAAAGCATACATAAATACTAAAAAATACAATATTTTTCAATTGTTGTATTCCAACCGATAAATGAAAGATACTCAATGTAAATAAATATATAAAAAATTAAAAATTATATAAAATTATAAATATTTTATACATATATTTATGATTTTAAAAATATTAAAGCTTCATACTAATTTGTAAGATTTGTTTTATATTTTTAGAAAAGTTTAAAGCTTTTTTAATTGTATCTAAAAATATTAAAGTACTAAAATGATATTTTAACTATAATTCAAGAGTCAAATTAGAAAAAAAAAATTATTTGTTATTCCGTTAACATCAATTATCACAGTGTAATTTTTTAAACATTAGTGGCAAAAAAAAGTTTGTCAAACATAAATGATCATTTGTATAATTTATCCAACAATTAATAGTTAACACCAAAACACAACCTAATTTCATTTAACAAACGGCACAAATTGATACCAAAACACAACTTAATTTCATTTAACAAAGAACACAAATTGATACCAAAACACAACTTAAAACCAAAACCACTTTAGTAATGACATACAATAGATATCAAAACACAATTATTCTAAAATTTAAACAAATAAAATAAGAAATTTTAAAGATTTAAGTGAAAAATTGGGTATACATTAAGGGACTAATCAAGCATTAAACTAGAAATCACATGTGTTTTATTTCCTTGGAGGGTTCCATTGGGATTTTTGTAGGGGAAAAAATAGAAAGGACGGAATCATTTAATGAGAATATTTGAAGTACTGATTTACTAAAAAAATGAAAATAAGAAAAAACCGATCATTATGGGCTTATATAAAAAGGTTGTATTTTCACACACATTTCACTCCATCAACTTCATTGATTGTTCAAGCCCTTTTACTCGTGGCTTCGAGCCATGGCGTTTACTAAGAGTGCTGTGTTTTTCATCTTTACAATGTCCATTTGGGGCGTCTCCATGGGAACCATCCATTGGGTCGGTGGCTTCCTCGGTTGGACCACAATCGCCGTCGGTTTGCCACTCGATTACAAACTCTGGGCAGCAACCAGGAACTTCCATGTTGCCGACGTTGTCAGTACGTAAAGGATTTTTCACCTAAACTTTTCCTTCCTCTAAACCTACTGTTTTTCTACATTATTACATAATATGATCATAAAATAAGTTAATTTCTGTTTTTTCAGTTTTCAAGTACAACAAAAATGTCAGTAATGTGGTCCGTGTGACTCACCAGAGTTACAACTCATGCAATGCAACATCTCCAATTGCATTCTACTCATCCGGCTCCGACGCCATCAACCTAACAAGGCCAGGCCACTATTACTTCATTTGCAGTCTCCCGGGACGTTGTCTCGCCGGCCAAAAGGTTAACTTCGAGGCGACTCTACCTCCACCGCACCTTTCGTCTTCGGCTTCGGTCATTCATTTACCAAAGTCAGGTTCCGTGTCGGGTGAAGCGTTGGCACCGAGTGTGGATGCCGTGGAACCAATCCCCGGCAGTGCTCCCGATCTCAAATCGTTTGACTTCTGGTTGTCTATCGTTGTCATCGGATTCGTGGTGGGTGTTACTAGAATTAGCACTTACGACATGGTTGAGTTTCTTGTTTAAAAGTGAATTTGTATCAACTTGTGCCAGCAATCTTCTGCTAATAAATATGGTTAGAATTGTTTAAGCTGATGTTTGAATTGAAAAACACTATGTGATGTTAATCTTTCTCCTTTCAATTGATCAAAGGGTGCTTGAATTCAACGTTTTCTACTATTTTTCTTATAATTAAGCTCAATTAGCTTTGCTTTATTTAAAGGAGTAAAGAAGAAACCATTAATTTAATTATTAAACTACAATTAAAAAAAGATTTAGAACTTAATTATTTAGCTAACAGACGTGAAATTCTCTATCTTTCTTATAATTGTTTTCAACTTCTCGGAGAAGAAGATTGATGTACTCAAGGAGAAACATGCATTTTTTTTTGTTGAAAATCAGACTTTTAGACTATGTTTTTCGGTGATTTAATTCACCGAAAGGTGCAATGGAAAATTCAAGATTCAAGCTTGAAAATGTTGAATTTTGGAATGGTAAAATTACAAACTTTAGTCTCTTAACTTTAGAGTATTTATAAGATTAGTCCTTAAGGTTCAACTATAAATACCCTAGTTCATTTAGCTTCAAAACCATCTCAAATCACTCTAGCTTTCTCCCAATACTAGAGAATTTAAAGAGTTTTCTTGAGAGTTGTTTTCTCATTTTTATCAAGAGAGAATTATTATTGTTTTCTCTTTATTAGATCGAGAGAAGTTGTAATTCCTACTTTCTATAGTAAAATTCTTCTACCGTTGCATGTGGTTTTTACCCTATATTATTTAGGGGTTTTTCACGTAAAATTTGTGTCTTCTTTATCTTCATTTTTCTTTTCTCAAATTATCTTCGATTTTGATCTATCCGATAGCCGTATTCTGCAACATTTTTATTCGGGTAAAATTAAAGACCATAATTCTCTTAAGTTTTTACCATTCATCAATTGATCTTAGTAATAAAAAGAAATGTTATTTTTTATAGAGTTCTTGAGTTGAACAATTATATTTACAAAATGTGTGTTATCAATTGATTAAGAAAAATTCAAACAAATACTTCCTTATAATCACTTCAGATTATTAAAAAAAAAATTGCTTACGGTAAAATTCTCACTTTAGTAATTTTTTACTTTTTTTAATTTGAATCTTATACTTTCATTAGGTATCACTTTAGTTCATTACCGTTAACCTTTTAAAAAAGTTAATTGTGAGTTTAATTAAATAGCTTGATGTAATACAGTTGTTAAATGCAAAGCGCCAGATTCATATATAAAAATTATGAAATGATTACAAAATTGATTGTGAAGTTGGGAACGGATGAAAACTTTAGTACAACTTTTTTAAACGGGAAAGGTCATTAGAGGAGAGTTGGTAACATCCAAAAAATACAAGGAGTCGAAAACAACAAAGGGCAATCAATGGGAGAAAACAACATGCCAGTGATTAGAGGTGAGCGTTTGATCGAATCGAGTCAAAAAATTTTAAGTTAATCGAGTTGACGAGTCCTATTTTATATCTCGGATTTGATTTGAAATTTTTTTAGTCGAGTTTATAAAATTCGAGTTGGGTTTAGTCAAATTTTCGAGTTTCTATTTAAATTTAATTGTAAATATTTATAATATTATGACATTATTTGATTTTTATTTAAATGATATTTTATAATCATATACAAATATATATATATATATATATATATATTTGTATTTGTATTTTTTTCATATGTAATTTACATATACCATATAAAGTTGATGGACTTGACTCAAACTTCGATTCAAACTTGAAAATCAATATACTAATTAGTAAAAATTTCAAGTTATTCGAGTTGTATTTTACAACTCGATTTGAACTTAAAATTTTTTCGAGTCGAATTTATAGAATTACAACTCTAAATTAATTCGAGTCGAATTTTTTCAAATCGAGTTAAATAAAAAAATCGATTTCTGAAGTCGAGTCAAGTTTTAATTACCATTACCAATGATAGATAGATGGACTGACAATGACAATAAACCTTGCAATTTGTGATAATTATTTAGTCCATTAGGTGTAAAAGTGATGGTTGGTGTTTTTGCATACGAGACTTTCTCCTTATTTATTTATTAGAAGAAATGGATTACGAGGAGTAGGGAAGATTATCGTCCTTTCAAAATTTTAAATTTTTATATATTTTAAATAATTTTTTATATTTTTATTAAATATTTATATTTATAAACACAATATACTGCATCATAACTGAATGTGTTTAAAGTTTTCTTCATTTCATTCTATTGCATTTTTTTAGTTAGGTTCTTCATCAACCCTTTAGGCAAATAGAGAAACAACCTATATATGTATATGAAGAATTAATCTTCAAAAACCAAATGAATCTGCAAATCTTTACTAGCAAAAGATAAGGGGATATTATAGGGAAAACTGAAGTAGAGATTTAAATTTTTTGTGTATAATTTTTTTTATCCATATAAAATAGTATGTCCAAAACTTGTCCCATTAGCATTACAAAGCTAAAACTTGTTCCACACGCGCACGCGCACACACATACATACGTATGGATTCCTTCTAGTAGCATGGAAAGTGAGCCACAGTGATTAATATAGCTAAACGGCGGCAACCGTCTCATCCTTGGCGGAGAGTATACATACATACATATATACATACATACATACATACATACATATATATATATATATATGGATGGATTCCTTCTAGTAGCATGGAAAGTGAGCCACAGTGATTAATATAGCTAAACGGCGGCAACCGTCTCATCCTTGGCGGAGACACTGGATCTTGCAGCAGATGAAGCGACGGCTTGTTTTTTCGATGCTACCGAACATTTCTCTATCGTCTCGTCTTGGTTCATCTGCTGTTGCCTGCACTCTAGGCTACAAAATGCACTATCACCCCTGCAATTAAACAATAAAGATGGAATAATATTTAATTTGGATTTCCCGACCAAATAAATGTCTAAAATTAAGTCAGATTCTTTTAGTTAATAAAAATATTCGCAGATATGAAATCTTGTACTAGATTAATTTTTTTTAAAAAGAAGAAGAAGACGCCTGAAATTGTTAAAGAAATTAGGAGAAATTGAGAATAATAACAGGCATGCAATAACAAATAAACACGAGAACTGAAGAAGAGTCCTTGCAAGTAACTAAGCAAGCAACTTGAAATTCCTTCCTATGGCAAAACAAAACCATAATTTTTTCCTTTGAAAAAATAAAGAAAGAAACCCCCGAGAAAACAGCGTTGAATTAAAAAAAAACAAACTTCCCCAAATAATTATAAAAAATAATTTCATATTCATATATTACACAGAAACCAGGCAATTGAAAGTTTCTGACATCAGTAATCTAGATTTGGGACTTGGTCATAAAATCATATACGAGGTTGAGATTTAAGATTCGAACTTTGTTCTTACTTATTAAATTTTGCAAGTTAATACTTAATACACCAATATATATTTTTAATCAAACTATGCCATGGCAAAAGAATAAGGAGCGATGAAGAAATAGGACTTAGTTTAAGGGAAGAAAAATTACCTATACATGTAAATATCACGCCCGGGAACAAGGCGACGTCTGCAAAGGCCGCAGGACCTTAAGAAATGAGAGGTTTCCATGAAATCAGCTGAATGTCTTCTATGAACTCTAGGTGACACCGTCGCCATCAACTCTTGATCTAACCCTCCACCATCACTGCCACCACCACCATTAGCCCGTATCTGTGGACCCCAAACGCCACCAGGAAGGGCAGCATCCTGTTTCGGGTGGTTTTTAAAAGGGTTATTACGTGGATCAGACGGCGGAGCTTCAGCCCCGGTTGTGTTTAGATCAGAAGTGATATCTGACAAGCTTGTTGTTCTCTTCATTGGTGGCCTCGGCCTGGGTCTCTTCCCTAGCATCATCTTCTTTCTTTCGTTATTTTCTTTACTCCTCGAAAGTTCTCCGAGGAAAAGCTTTGAGAGAACAAACTATATGTGAGAGAGAGGACAGAGAAGTGAAGAAGTGGAGATGACCAGATGGGGGTAGATAAAAGAAGAGCCAGAAACCCAGGAGTGAATCTGAGCCGTTCGCTTTTTTCTCTTTAATTTTCTTTCGTTTCCTACTTTATGGTATTTACATCATTGGCATTGCGAATCCACGTCATACTTTATGGTGAAATAACAGACAGTATAATATAAAATTTAAAGTTGATATTAGTCTTGGTTCATGTCTTCACTATTCCTTTGGAAAAGAAAACTCTTTATACAATTCTTATCCCTTCATTAAAATTAATAAATATTTATACATTAATAATATAATTTTATATATTATTGATAAATTAAATATAATATATTATTTTTTGAGTAATCTGAAGTAAATATAATGTAATATATGTTCAAAGATAACTTTTAACCTTCTGACATTGAACGTTCGTATCCCCGATATTCTTGGTACTCAAACACAAAACCTCAAGGAATAATAATAATTCTTTTACCATCGAGATCACATGGATTTATGCAATATGATAGATTATTTAAAAATAATTTTAAATACTATTATAATTAAATAACGATGTACAAAACTATAAACAGTTAATACTCCATAAAAATATAAGATACTCTAAATTCTCCCGTGACAACTTAGTTTTTATCTGGTTTAAACTGACAATTATATTCTGAAACCTCAGCTTGAGATTTTATTGTTCTTATTTGGACGAGAGAGTTTTGGAACCTCCCTAATTAGGGATTTAGTTATCTCAGCTGTCCTGACATAGTCTTTTGATTTTTTTAATTTTAGCAAGCTGGATGAAAACCACTTGCCATATATATATTTTTGTTCTAAATATACTTACCATATATGTAATTGAAAGCAATCATTATAAAGCTAACTCACTTTTCAAAATGGTAAATTATGCCATTAGTCTCTTAACTTTAGTTTAAATATTGATTTAGTCATTAAACTTTAAAACACTTTGACTTTAGTAGTAAACTTCCGACTATGGAATGGCGTGATGGCATGGTTATTTCTTCTCTGTGTTTTTATAGAAAATGATCAACTCCTTTGATTATTGCTATTAATTAATTGTTGGTGTGATCGTTTAATTCTCTATTTTTTTTTATAGAAGACCATCAAGTTCTTCAATTATCGTTGTCAATTAATCATCACTCACCATTGAACGTCATTCATGACAAAATCAAAATCATGATTGTGAATTTTTTTCTAAAAAATTTGATAGTATTGACTATAAGCTTAATGAGCTTTACCAACTATATTTCATGTTGCCCAATTGTTGGTAAATTTGGACACTAGTAACATGTATTTATGAATAAAAAATTGTGATAGATGAAATAGATTTATAAGCAAAAAGAACCAAAACGCGGTACAAGTGAATCAAAGTTAATAGTTCGGAGCAAGACAAAGCTTCAAACAAACTAGTACAAGTGCATGAAAACCAGAGCTTCCACCAAGACAAAAAGTCCTATTGTAGCATATTTCAGTACAAGAGAATCCGCTATACATACATACATACACGAACATACACTTACATTTTTAAATTGTACTTCCCTTTTGATATAAGATAAAGATAAACCAAAAAAAATATAAAATTGAAAATATTCTCACAACGTATTGTCAAAGAAAAAAAAGGTTAAAACAAGTGGTAGTAAATGGAGGCACGGTTCACTGGGAACAAAGTATGCATTTTGTGTGTGAGATGAGATGGGATAAAACAAAATCAGACAGGAATACAAATAAGATGCCTTCTTTTTTATTCATACAGGAGGATTTACGAAGAAAAATACAAAGGGTGCAGATTCTATATATTAAAGCAAAACCAGAAATCCAGCTACACCCAAGTGATTAATGGATCTCCAAAGCTGATGAGTCATTCTCCAGACCTTTGCTCTTTAACTGACCATGGAGCATCATTTATTTTGTAGGTTGGCTGACCCACTGCATATATGCCCACTTGCTTGCATTTAGTAACATCTTCTATCTTCAAGTGGATTAAATGTTTAATGTCCCTTTGAAATCTAAGGTCTTAGTTAAGTTAAGCTTTAAAATGCAAAAAGGGCAGTGAAGTTTATCGGTTACCACTTACCATCAAACCCATAAATACTCCTCCTATATTTGGATGATTTATGACCCTCAGCTATAATTAATTGTTTTGCTGCAGAGTTAAGAAATCCCATTTTGGGTATTATATTCTTCTTACCTTATTTATATAAGATCTTCAAATGGAGGTCAGTGGCCCCCATAACAATCTTAAAAATTGAGGTTTCAAAATATATATGGTGTCATAATAACTTTGGGATATTTGAGCATTTATTGAAGAAAAAAATGGTCAGTTACAACACAAATGATCACGTAATTGGTTGAGAAGCAACATTATTGAAGTCAAGAAAAAATTAATATGGACAATCTTTTTTTCTTTATCTTTTTAACTTTAATAGCGCTGGATGGGACAACCTGTTTCTCATTATTGAGTATATTATTAACAACTACATAATGTATTGCTAATGGTTCATGTTGCATGGCTGCGATATTTCATCCATGATTTACAAACAGTTCATATATTGTATTGTATGCTACCATTGTTTATAATATGTATTTATCTATTTTATTTTTAGAATAAAACTTAGAAACTGTTATATTGATGTGGAGAATGTTAGTTTTTTCTACAAAAATTTAAAGTTGCATTGAAAAAAAAAAGCATTTGGTTCTTTTAATGTGGAGAATATGACAGAGATGAGAAAAGAAATAAAAACAAAATTAAGTGCATATTTGTGTAGCATATATTATGTAACTTTTTAGTATACCATTAATGATAACTGTAGCTTGAAATCTGAGATTTCCAGCATCTCGTTTTTAAGATATATGCCAATCAGTTTGAGAATGCATATTGAAATATTGACCATGTGGCTTCCAAATCAAAGTTGAGATCTTCAACAGTAAATTCACACTAAGAATGATATAAATATTTAAAATGGACTATTTTTCCACTTGTAGTTGGGCATTGCACTTTCTTCAAAGTGAACCGACTTTTTTTCTCCTTCAAAGTGATGAGCTAAGAAAGAGATCCAAAAGGGGGACAGAAAGAGGACATGGAAACAAAATTTTAAGAATCCGTCCATCTGGGTTTTCTGAAAGTGCTTATTATTTGTTTATTTCTAAGCTCTAACTTGGAAGATCTAAACTAAACCCTAGGTGTTTCTCTAATTTGAGGCCTATAAGTTCAGTTTTTTTATTATTAAATGAGAGGGGTTCCATATATTGTATGTGCTTCTCCATCTGTAAAATTTTCTTCTTTCTTTTTTCATTATGATTGCTAGATGTAGCAATTGGTTTGAACTAAGGAGTTGCCCTCATGGTGCTGGACCCATAATACTTGAGTGTTCCATATGGTAGACTTGAGAAACAACACATGTGAACAGGTAAGTAGAAGTTTGATATGTCTATATTTTGTGTTACTAATTGTTGTTTTCTTAATAATTTTTTACGAAACAGAAACAACTAGTTTTTTTTTTAAAATATTTAAACTACAATGAAAGTTTACAATCATAATCATAAACTAAAATACATAATAATAGCATTATTATATAATATTTAACACAAGAATCTAGTCACATAAGATAACACAATTATCATATAAGAAAAAAGTTTGAAACATAACCAAATAAGCTCGAACAAAAGGAAGATACGAACAGATCTGACCGTATCGACAAACGAACCACAAAAGAGATCAAACTATTGAAAGAATACCAACAAATCGTAAATCAAAATTGAACGACGAAAAAACTATTCACGAGTGTAAATCGTGTATCCAATTCCAATTCGATGGTCCAAAGTAGGGAAGATCAACATGATAACAAATGAGCGTCATCTTGATCAGTAATGATGATGACAAATCAAACTTTGAGAAAAAGAATAAACGAAAATAACAATCAAACGACCAAAAATATGTCAAAAGACGGAGAAAATATGCTATAAAAACATAGAAAAACATACGATAAAGGAAGAGTTAATTAAAAATAAAAAACAAGAAAATAAAGATACAACATAATAAAATAAAGAAAAATAATGAATAATGAGACTAACACTAAAATTAATATCGTGGTTAATTATAAAAATTGAAGGGAAAAAAGATTAACAACGGAAAAGAATAGAAAAATCTAGGATTTGCAAACAAACTTTCTTTTTTCTTAATATATATATATATATATATATATATAATGGACTTGTAAAGCAAAGTTGAATTTTTTTTTGGCTTGTGAGCTACGTTTGCTCTTTCTATGTCTAGCGATCCATTTTAGTAGGGCCTGCTGCTGCAACAATGATAAAGCTACTCCACCGTATCAAGAATAAAACTCTACAATCATTTTAGTAGGGTTGATTTTACAATTTAGGCCATTTTTTTTTTATAATTTTAGTTTATGTTATAACTGATGTTATAAAGTTTATATTATTATTTTCAAATATTCTCACAATAATTTACCTTTAATATTCTCACAATGAGTATTTATCTTGACTTGATGGTTATGTATTAGAGACTTTTTCCTGGAGGTTTTAAGTTTGGTTCTCACCCTTTGGATATAAGGATTACTTATCATTTTATTAGTGAAAAATAATTCATTAAAAAATATCATTTCATTTGTCACCTGGAACTTCCACTAATCATTTAATGGCGTAATGATCGATTTATTACTTTTCAATAACAGTAATCGCATTTTATTATTTCTAAAATTTTAGTTACAAAAAAATATGGTTTATTCTTTTATGAATTAATCTTTAAAATATCCACCGGTTCTTATATAAAGGTATTTTTCCCCAAGGGCAAATGAATCTAAATTATTGCTCCACCACATATTTTAATATCTTTATTAACACTATGGTTAATCGATCATAATATGTGAGGAAATAGTTTGATATAGATAAGAAGTAAATTATTTAATTTTTAAAAAGTTAAAATATATAAATTTAAAAATAAAAAAGTAGTATTCATCATCAATTGATATAATAGA